AGGGAAAATGAGTCCTTTTTAGCATTTTAAAAGTTACTCAGAGCTGGCATAACAGTGCACTGAGTTAGTGCCTGTTGTGCTTGTCCTGGGAGCAAATCTGCGCTACCAAGTCCAAACCTGAATCCCACCATGGGTTAAAATGATAACAAGGATCCATGGAAAACTGAGATCCTTGGCTAGAAATCTTAGCTCTAATAATCCTGTAACAATTCCGGTGTGTGGATGGATGATGCACAGAATTTTTAGGGATGAACATCTGCAAGATGCTCTTCCTGGCTTAAATTATGCCTTTCTCTATCATCTCTGAGGGACACCTCTCTGAATTTCAGGCACTTAAGAGACCAAGGGACTTTTGCTTTCCTTTGCTTTTCCTCTTTCATCTTCCCTTCCTCATTCTTTTGAGCTCCTCTGCGAATCAATGGCTTATGCCAGCTGCAAATTTGGCCCAATAATATTGATTGCACGTGTCTCATGCTTCCAAACCAGGCTGATTTCCTTTGTCCCGCCTAATTAAAGCGTCGAAGATAACCGGAGCACCCTGAGCAGCGAGCTCGCTTGCTAATGGTGGCAGGAACAGGCTCTGCTTTGCAGCGCATAGGCCCTTCCCAAGGGGGGCTGCCACGCACATCCTCCAGTGACGCTGTTCAGGGCACTGCATGCAACACTAATGAGCTCCCAGGCAGGCAAACAATTTAGACAAGGACCTCGGCAAGCTCCCCAGAGATGTATTAACCCCTGCACTTTCTGCATGAGAAAGGAGTCACTTTTAAGACAAAGATAGGCCCCTGCTGCACGGCCTGCTTGGCACGCACGTAGGGATGCGACGGCCTTCAGGATGGCCAAGTAGCCACCAGGAAGCTACAGATGAGAAGATCCTGCTTGCTGTTGAACGAGGTTTTCCCTCTAGCCGCATGAGAGGCCCCTTCAGAAGGTATTGCAGAGATGAAACCCGGACTATCGCAACTGAGCATCGCCAGTCCCCAGGTCTGGCTGGATTCTCCTTCTGTGCTTCAGCTGCCTGCCAGGAAGCAAAACGCAACCCCTCGCGCCTTGCAGGAGACTGGAGGAAATGGAAATCCTATTAGGGGGCTTGCAACGGTTTCTGGCACATTCGTCCTTGCTGGCTTGCATGTCTTTGCCTGCGTGACTTTGACAGACACATGTATTTCATAAACATTCATGAGATAGGGGAACAGCGTTGGTTGGCCACAGCTCAGACGTGTTTATGCGTTACTAAATAAACGCAAGTGCAACGAGGTGGCCAACGTAGCTGGTGTGATTCATCCTCGCTGCCTTACTTTCTGCACAGCGGTGGATAAGCTCAACTCAGGTGGCCACACTAAGGTGTCCGGGGCCTCTTGCGATGCTGTAGGGTGCCCAGGGCAGTGGATATGACCCAGAGGTGTGTGCCCTTCTGGAGCAACGACTGAAGGCCAGACAGGCTATTTTAAGAGGTCTCAAATGGCACTACCCACAGTGGGCAACCAAATTGCATCTCTGTACCTGCCCTCAGCTGCTCTTCTGTCAACAGCCAGCCTGATTTTCCAGCATCTACGTCTCAGGGAAGAAGACCAACGTCTTTACCACCGACACCAATGTTGTCAACGCTTCTAGCCTAAGAAACTGCTGGTCTACTGTCAATGAAAGGAAGGATTATCTACCATGCCTAGCTATCTAGTCATTATCTCAAATATTTATAGATTGGTTTCCAGGACTCCTGAGTCCTTTTCTGGGTCTGTTTTACAGATGCTGTGGTTTTGAGGTCAGATCACCATTAAAGAAAGGACAGGGAGCTAAGACGTGGGGCAGCTCAAACAAAACGCTCGCAGCAGAGCAAGAATGGGACCTGAATCATCTGAGCCCTAAATCAGTGCCCCCAAAATCCCCAGTAGAGATGCAAACCACCTTATAGATCCGTCTCCAGGCTGTGATGAGATGTCAGTTGCTTTGCCCCTGGCCGCTGTTCTTGCATGTTATTGCTGAGCAGTCTCACAAAATGGAAGAACGACCCTGCTACGGTTTTATTTTTAAAAGCAATCCTGCTGCCATTATCCGTGAGGCTTTGTATTTGAGTGTGCAGAAACAGTTCAGGGCGGATGACAGCAATTTAATCTCCTAGTGCTTTTCCATAACTCCTTGTGCCATCCTTGACCCTGCGCCAATGCCCCAACACTGCCAGCTAGGGGAAAGATCTGTGGAGTTGATGACCCTGTGCCCCAAGTGCCTACAAGGGTGTTGCTTAGCTCAGTGATAACAGCCCCAACTGATTGTAGGGGACAGCACAAATAAACAAATTACCACCCTGAGCTTTCTTGCATCAACGCAAGTCAGGAGCAAGCCCAGCCAAATCAATGGGGCCAAGTCCAACCAGTGGCTTATACACGGATGCCACAGATTGGGTCACTCGACAGAGACAGCGAGGCCGAGGTGACCCAGCGCTCATCACGGCAGGGTGCTCCTGCTCCCTGTACAGGAAGATCTCTTCTGAGGGTGTGAAAATACTTCAGTTTCCAGCAGCAGTTCGACTTTGCGCCGCTCCGCTCTGCCTCCCCACCCGGCTGTGAGCTGCTGGGTTATGAACGACTGTCTGCGAGGGGCTTGACTGGGGTCCGTGTTTCTAAAGAGTTCCGCATTTAAAAAGCAAGGCCAGGTTTTTAGCAGGCGTCAGTAACACGAATGCACGTAAAGGGAATCATTGGCAGATGTTGAAATCCACCCCGTATGCTCCGGGAAGGGATGTGCAGGGTGAAGGTGTCACTGAAGGGATGGTAACCTGAGTTGCACCCAGGGATGGCCTGGGCCACTCGTTATCAGGGACGTGAGAAGGGAAACAAGGCAAAACTGATGGGGAAAGGAAACACGAGCCTCCCCCATGCTCAGAAAGCAGATGCCGAGTTGATGCTTATCCTGATTTCTTTAATAAGACATTAAATACCTTCCCTCCTTAGCTGTCCTATAACTGCACTGATTTGAAAATAGCTCTCTGGATGAAGCCACGGCATCACGGCCAGCTGAAGTGATTAAAAGAAAACATGCCCCCATTCCCGGTTCCCGTTATCGGTACATTGTGTGAAGAGGGTCTAAATATCGCACCATGTTTTTACGCGTGATAAAGCAAATTTTCACAAGCGGCACCAGCGGCTGCCGACAGCATCCCTGTGCACGAGAGCGTCCCCCTGCGCCGCCGAGCAGCGCTGGCACGGGCAGGCTGGCTAGAGGCGGATACGGTGAGGCCGTTCGGACAGGGTTTTACATGGAAAGCCTCTGGCTTTATTTGAAGCCTCCGCATGTGATGGGTGAATGGGGGAAACAGGACGTTTGCTGCTCTTGGAGTCCACTGCTCCTGGCATTGCTCAGCTCTGTGGATCCTCTGATGTCTGATAAAGGCTGAGCGCACTCTGGAGCCTTTCAGCCGTAGCATCCCTCCGCTCTGCCCCCGCGCCTTATGATTAGGGAACTTGCACCCAAATTTATGTTGTTCAGGCTGTTACCTGGCTGTTGTATTGGGCCAAAACTGCCTTGCCTTTTCCAGGGACCAGCAGCCAGACAGGCACACACAGCATGAAGTTATAACCAAGTTAAAACCAAGCTCCCCGTTAATTGCTGAGCACTTTGGTTTGTGGGAATTACCTGGAGAGGAAACGCTTGTAAAGGTCAACCACCAGAAGGGTAACCTATTGCCAGACATGCTGGTGAACAGTTATTTGTACAAATAGTCTCAATTTGGCAGCCTTTTCTTACCAAAGGCAGTCTGTTTTGGGGGTATCTTTCGGCTCCTGTGCGAGGGAAGGAGGAACTGTGTTATTCAGTCATTCTGGGGGAGAACAACGTGTTCTTGCTGTTTTTCTCACATTTGCCTAAACCGCCCTAAATAACGGCTGGACGTTTTCCCCGCACGTCCATCTCGCCTCCTACAACAACTTGCTATTTTATGCAATAGCCAAGCTAAAAAAAGAAAGCAACTATCATGCCAAAAATGCAGCTTTGATAAAATATGAGGGGAAAAGTCAGCATAAGTGTGACTGGCTCGAGATCCAACGAGAATAATGTGGGAAGGATAATTTTGCTTTCTTGCCTCTCACGCCTACCAAACCCTGACGGCTGGATACGCTGAAGTGAATATCTAAGAACGACAAAACAGATTTTTGCTCTAACGCAAAGAATGCTGGACAGTAAGAGCAGGACTGGAATTATATCCTAGAAGACACCATCTTTTCACTGCCTTATGCATAGTTTAGTGGGTCTAGAGGCAGGAATTTCCAGACCACCTGACCTCCTTGGAAAGTCTATCTTGTAAATATGACCACTGTAAACACTCCACATTTTAATGGGCAGAATATCTTCAAAGCTGCTACTCTGCCGTTCGAAAACAGACGTGGCTTGATAGAGGTTCTTGCAGCCTATCTGCAAAGGAAGTGGAGGAATGCACAGTTTATACTAAAGTAACGTGCACTTGTCCCCCCCCCTCAGCGACTTCTGAGACTCGGCCAAGACTTTTCACGTCATTACGATCTCCTGCAGCTGGCACAGGAATTATTTGCCTCTTCACACTTTTGATCTTAACAGAAAGGAGTGTGTGGCATTTCCAGCCCAGATGGTCGCGTTTCACTTCGAGCCAGGCCTGCACTGCGCGGGTCCGATGGACAAGTTTCTCCTGAACGTCCTCCTGCGCACGTGCCTCCACACGCATTCGTGGTGTTGCCGTGAAGGCAAAGCAGATTCGTAACAAGCTCTCTGGAAAGGTAAAAAGTTAAATAAAACAAAACACTGAAACAGCTCTCTTGAGGTTATGGGCTTTCGCGGCGTCTAAAGACACCGCTATGGAGCTGCTCGCTGAGGAGCTGTGCAGTCCCTGGGGGTCCTAGGGAAGGGGAAAGTATCTGGAATCAGAGTTTATAAGTGGGATGAGCTATTTATGGGCTGCATTCTTAAATGCTGTTCATCTTTCACAAACCTTTCCTTTACCTATATTTTAAATTGTATCTGAGCAAAGATGGATTCAAAATACCAAATGAGTCTTAAGTTTGAGAATAAGGAGGCTGAGACTAAGGAGTCTTGGCTCAGTATTAGAGCTAGACTAGTCCCCAACAGCAAGGCTGACGACAGCAAGTGCCATATAGACAATATTGACTTTTATTCCCTATTAACATTTTCCCAGTCCCATCTCCCTGCTTTTCACGTAGTTTCCTCTGTGTCGGTTTTTCTCTCCGAGTCTTTTTTCTTAGCAGTGTCTGCCAAGAGGGTCTGCAACCTGTCTTGAGCTGAACTTTTGGATTGCCAAAGCCAAGTCCTCAGTAACAGTAATCCAGTGTCATCACATTAATGCTACCATGCTTGCCTGGCTGGACTGGAGCCACAGAGCTGTGTATCTATCTGGTCGAAGACAATCTTGGTTCAAAACTCCTTCAGATCTCCATGTTTTTCCCCTTCCCATGAAGGCTCTAGGCTGAGATGAGGCTGTGTTTTGTGGCTCACCCTTCTAACATAAACAACAAATGAAAGGTTTTCTTGCAGAGTACTACTTCTATCTCCTATGTCGAATGCTTCCAGCAGCGTTGTAGGCCCGTTGGCTCCTTGCACTGGAGAGCTGGGCCACCAGGCAAGGCCGGCTCGCTGGCGGGCAGCAGAACAAGCAGCTGAAGCGACACATTTTCAAATAGCCAAAGTGGCAGCACAAGGCCTTCAAGTCCTGTTAGTCCTTACGCTGACGGCAGCAAGTGCATAGCCTGATGGGGAGAGTCCCAGCATCACAGCTGGGGTGCAAATCCAGGTATCCACCAAGGTGACCAAGGGAATCCTAACCTACACTGATGAAATGATGAAAAACAAAGCGAAGTCCAGATGTGTTATTCTGTGAAAACTGTCTCCCAGGGAAACTGGGGGAAGCCCCATTTTCTATAACAGGAAAAGTTGCTAAAGAACTCACTTTGTATGAAGAGCTCCATGTATAAATGCTTGGAAGTGTGCTCCAAGGCTTCAGCAGCAGCTGTGCCAGATATACATAACACATGGCTATGAGAAACAGTGATCTAAAACAGCTGAACACTAATTTATCTAAACAGGGTTTTATGATTTATCAGTCTGCTCAGACCATTTGTACCCGGAGCCTTAATATGGATGAGTCTAGCATAACAGATTATAGCCAGTGACCATGCATTAGACCTCTTGTCAGCAGATCAGAAAGCGTGGCTGGTCTTCTCTCACTCTGTAAGAGCAGTAACGAAGCATGTGTGTTAATCCAAATGATTATTTGATCTTATTGCAGAGGGTGTCTTACAGCATAGCGTCCAGGTACATCAAGTGATGTGGCTGTGCCACCTCCAACTGGGGGGCTTTTCTGCCTCCCCGGTTCCAGGATTTTTGGTCTTTTTGTTCCACTCAAAGCACTATGGTATCTTCAGCAAGGAGAAAGCTGAATGACAGGACGGCCACTTGCTGGTTTATTTCTGTTAAGTATAATATATATTTAACCTGAACTCCTACTACAAGACATTCTGGTTGAGCAGCAAGAAGTATTGGCCTGTTCTACAGGTAACTTGAGCAGCCAGAGGAGGATTTAAGAAATAAAATGAAGCGAAAGAACATTTTTGGAATTTCCTGTTTCACAATGTAAACCAACCTCTAACTTCAGGGCTCCGTTCTCCGAACCAGCCCACGGTCCGTAACAGGACGCTGGCCTACATGAGTCCCTGGCTCTGATCCCGCTGGGCAATTCCTTTGGATGCTAAACCATGTAGCTGCATTTTATGTCTGCACACATCCAGGTGTCTTCTCCTAGTTGTTTTTGGCGTTGGCTTTGCTCCTGGATTGGGCGAAGTTCTTTATCTCCTCCTCAAGCATTTTGTTTTTCTTCTCCATGTCCTCCCGCGAGCGCTCCACGTTCATCAGCTTTTGTTCCAGTTCCTCCGACTTCTTCTTCTCCCTCTCAATGTCCTGGTTCAGCCTCACCAGTTTGGCCCAGACTTCGTAATTTTCCTTCTCAAGGCTGCAAAGAGAAACGAAAAGGAGCGTGAAAAGATGGAATTGGAGGAGTGCTAGGAAGGCATCGTGTGGCTCTTAATCAGTCAGTCCTCCATGTAATTAAGGAATAAAATAATTCAGAGCTGCCGTCCTGATCTCTGGGCTACTCTGGGAACTGCAGAACTGATTGCCTCCACCCTGGGAGATGCCTAGCAGCCCTGGGGTGTCTGGGCCAGAATAGTGGCAGTGTTTGATCCTAAATCCCTGTTCCCTTGACCCTCAATGACCACATCATATAATGCAATAAGCACAATACATGAAGTATATAACAATACCTTAGCAATACATGAAGCTATAGTAACACTAATGGTTACAACCATACGATGCTGTAATAACAGTACTACTGAGTTCTGGATAGTATAATGATATAATATTGTAGTAATACCGATAATTATGACCATATAATTATTGCAGAATTAATATGGTAGCAATATGATAATATTAGCAACTACATCAGGAGTCTACAGGACATGAGCATTGAATTCTAGACAGTACACTATAATACTATACTGTAACATTAGTCATTACTGTAATACACTGTGTATTATTAATGGTAAATAATTCTATGAAGTACTAATATTGTAATAATATGGGCTGAAGACTTCACACTCTCCAGAAGGCAGCATTCGCCAGTGCGTTACCTTTTAATTTGCTCTTCATAGTTATTTTTCTGTGCCTTCATTTCTTTTTCCAGCTTCAGGATCATGCTCTGCAGGAACTCCTTGCTCTCCTGACCAGAATCACAAACGCCAGTGGTGCTGCTGCCGGGGCTGGCTATTTCCTTTGGCTGATGGTCGGGGCTGGGGCTTGGTAGGAATTGCTTATCGGAGCCGCTGCTCGCCGTGCTGGGGCTGGAGCAACTGCCTTCCCTGCTTTCTGCCTGGGAGGAAGGTACATTATCATAAGTTGAAGCTCGGTGAAGGTCAAGCAGCTTAAAAAGATCATGAGACAATGTTCTTTTATGTCCATCCGGGAGCCCAGAAGGCATGCTGTTCCCTGGGGAGGATTTCCAAAAGTCACTGGCAAATATGTCGCTTTTGTCATTGCCGCCTTTCTCCCCCTGAGAAGCAGCTGTCAGGAAAGATTTCCTGTTAGGTAAAGTCTGAGTTCTTTTCCTAGACTGCATTTTCCACATTCCCAGGGTATCTTTGGATTCACTATCTTCTCCAGGCACGCTTGAACTCGCTGCTGGTCCAGTGGCACTGCTGGCATTTAGGTCGTCTCTCTGAAAAACAGACCTATGGCATTAGACTGTCCTCAGCCCGTTGTGCGCCCAGACATAGATTGCAGCGTCTTCTGAAACTGCAGTATTTACAAAGGTCACATTTTAACATGCTAGCGAGAATGGCCAAAAGTTTTCCATAAAAATGATTTTGGCTTGAAGTGTGTTTTCTATTACAAAGAGCTTTTTGCAGGGACTATCTCTTTCTGAGAAAAGCCCTCAGCATTTTCACTTCACCAGTGTGAACTGAAAAGCTTTCCTCTGTTCTGCCTTTTAGCTAAAAAGCTTTAGGAGTTTTGATTTTTCCCAGAAGAGTAAATTTTCCACAGGAAAGAACTCATTTTTCTGACGTAGATATTCCAGGGGTGACAGTTACAGATCTTTAGCCTATTAATAGCAAGTGCTCTTAGTGGCTTGCTGACCTGTTAGATCCCATAATAATTATCCAGCCCTTTATTAAAACCTCTGCTGGCCATTTCTCCAAGGGTCTAGCCTTACTGTTTGCCTTTGGATCAAGCTGTCGGTCCTGGACACCCTGGGGTCTTCTGCAGCGTCCCAGCCCACGGAGCTGCGCGGCACAAGGGCTTTCTTGAAGTCATTATTTTTTTGGGTGGGTGGAGATGGCAGTACATCTTTGGACGCGGGAAAGAGGTCTGCGTGGTCACTTATCATCACGGTCATCACTTTCTGAATCTGTGGTGTGCCTGGAACAAACAGGAGAGCCATCAGCGGCGAACCCAACACAGCAAGCTTGCTTTCCCCTGGGTTTTATGCTTTTTGGTTGGTCTTTCTGGTGTCTGAGACAGAGAGGCAGACAGAAAGGCAGGTGAACGCAAGGAGCATGATCATAAAACCAAACCAAGGGGGAGATTTCTGTATCACGCCGGAACAACAACCAAGCTGCGACTCCACTCAGCTGAACCAAGCCACAAGTGTGCTGCTTTGGCTCGGCAGGCAAACTACAAGCATTGGTTATACCACTGGATGGCTGAATATCATCAGCAAAAGAATTTGGGAGGTCAGAAAGGAATTTATGTCATCGTTTTAAACCAGGCACCTGGCCTCACTTATGTTTCTTCCAGGCATGCAATAGATGTTATTAAAAACAGAGCGGAGCTGAGGGATTGTGTGAACCCCCCCCCCCCGTCTGGGGATGTACCTCATGCATGAGGCTGCGGAGCATTTGGACGTGAATGACCTTCTTTGGCCTTAAAACATTTCTTCTCTTAGTTCTGGTGTCTCTGTCCCTTGCCCAAGGGATTGCATTGTTTGGCTCATCTAAGCAGTTATTTCTTTGAGTTTCCTTTGTTTCTTCAAGAAGAATTTCACACCTCCCTCCTCCGGATGAAAGAAAGGTGACTTTACCATTGTCCTGAATACTTTGAAATAATCAGTGGAGGGAATGCACTGTTCAGCTCCTAAGGGGTTTTTCACCATAGACACATTTATAGCCCAGCTGATTACCTGTGGCTTTACACTGCCCTGCTGTACCACTGTGCCCAGACACGTGTCTGGCTTATAGCCACGGGTTTACCATAGAAAGCTTTAAATTTTAAGACTGTGGATGCAGCTATCTGAGTATTTCAGTGTTCTGTGCATTCCTATGCCAGTCATTCCAGGAGTCTCTTTTACCTCTCATAATAATCGCAGGATCCCCTATCTTTGGCCTGATGAGATTCACTCCGATCACTGTTGCCAGGTTATCCACGCTCATCTTGTTGACGCTAGAGTTCAACTGTATTTCGTGCAGAAACCTGCCAGAATCCAAGGGCAAAAATTCCAATTCAGAGAAGAAACGCTCCTACACGCACGCTGTTATAAAATCCGGATCATCTGTCTAGTTCGTCCTCTAAACCCCAAAGACAGAAATACATATTGTCCCATATAACTGTGCTGGAGCCTTGTCTTGTGTCAGTAGAAAAACTGCCATGTCATGAGCTGCTGGGTTCTCCTCTTCCCACCACCCAAAAAAAGAAAAAAGGAAGGAAAAAAAAAATTCTAATCTTAATCGCAGTGCCAGAGAAAAATCACACATCACCCAGGGCCAAGCTGGGTGAAATTCAACAGTTTCATTGTAAAAGACTTTGTCTAAAATACTGCACTTCATGTTAATTCTCGTGGGCTCACAGGTGAGTTATGGGGCTTTGGGGTAGGCATTTCTGCTCAGACCTCCTTCATGTGTTCATCCCTGTGGTGTGAAACCCTCCCTTAACAACGGTAAGGATCTGATGCCACATGACAGCTTGCGAGAGCCCTCTCTAGAGGAGTCAGCTTTGGCCTTTGGGGTGATATTTTTACTCGCGAGCAAGAAATCTGAGCTATTTATACCTTAGGCAAAGGACTGACCTGCAGATATAGCTGAGGAGGTTGTAGTTGTCTCGGGGAAGGAGGGACAGTTGCTTCAGTAGTTCCTGATGACCCTAAAGGCAAGTTAAGAAATAGCTCTGTAAAGGTTCATATATGAATTCACATATATGAATTGCAAACTGTCTCTTGGTCACTCCAGTCCATCCCTGCATGGTCTCACCTCTTGGTATTTGCTCACCTTGGGAATGAAATCCAGACAGGCATTTATTTGGGAAACCCAGCATGGACCTGGACAAGGTTTTGCACAAAAAGGCGGCCGGTTACCCAGCATCTCTGCTGCCAAAGCAGCGAAGACGAGAGTAGGGTTCGATCCAGCACAGCACAGGTATGCTGAGCCCTTGTCTCTTACGAGGGCTGACCGTGCCTAGCCTCAAAGGCAATGACATGTATTTGTATTTGTAGATGTATTTGTATTTGTAGATGTATTTGTATACATTTCTAATCCAAAACATCCTGAAGTGAAACCACCTGCAAGAAACACTTGCCCTTGAAACGTAGGTGCTTGTAGGGCTGAACGCAGCGGTTCGTGAGCTCACGCTGCTAAGGATGATACCTGCCTTATTCTTTTGGAGCGTACCTGTGTTTCTCTACATATGAACAACATCCATGAGCGTTTTCTTGGGAGGTGAGGGGGCTTCTGGTCCATCAAAACACAGCGTTAGTAAAAGACTGCTCCAATCTGCTTCTCGCTTCTCTAACCCTCTCCCAAATCCCCACTTCCTCGCTCTCGCCCCAAGCTCTTCCGCCAGCCCCGCGCAGGGTGAGAGACGCTGCAGGATGTTGCACTTCCTTCCTCTCCTGCTTTTCACACCCTCCATTTGCTGCAAGGACTCAACTAAAAGAGACACTGAGCAGCTCTGAGACTCTTTTTTTTTTTTGGCCTGGTTATTGCACGTCAGTCCTTGTGGCCCAGTTAACGAGGCACCCGGATATGCTCCCATTCGAAGAAGTGAAACTCCGAGAAGGGGAGGAGCGTGCGCCCCCCCAGCAGCAGCCAAGCAGCCAGGGTCTCCAGCTGCCAAAGTGCCACCGTTCAAACGAGGTTAGTTTTCAGGCCAGGAGGAGATAAACGAATGCTCTTTTTGTACCTTGCTCTCGTCCGCATCCAGCACTTGGCCACATAGCAGGAAATCCTCGTACTGCATCCAGGGCACAACGGGCTCTGGGAGCTCCCGCAGGTAGAGCTTAAAGAGCGAGGCCACTGTGTGCACGTCCGTGTCTCTGAAACAGAAAGAGCCGCTCACGGGAGGCTTGCACCCAGCCTGAGAGCAAACCCCTGCCCAGCACCCGGCCATACAGTTAAGCTCCCCGGACAGAGACAGCAGATGAAGAGATATCAACAGGGAAGGTGAACCATGCTGGGGGGAAACACGCCGGGGACCACGGCCCTGCTTCGGGAGCGGACTCAGCCCACGGGAAAATAATGCCTGCAGGAGACTTTCTGCCCCGCAGGGGCAGCAGGTCCCCAGCGTTCGCGGGTGGGCTGTGTCTTCCCAGCCCGCCTTTGACTCACGAGCGTTTCCATGCAAACGCCACCCAGCATTCGCCTCTTTGGCAGGCACTCCCCACTCCGCGCAGAGCTGGCGAAGCTCACCCACGCTTTTAAGATTAACAGCAATTACTGAAGATGTTCTGCTAGGACAGATGTTTGCAGCTTTGCATACCATGTAGTTTACATTATGTCAAAAGGACACTGTCAAGATTGTCAGCCTCTAATTTGACCCACCTTGTAGTCGCTAAACTGTTATAAACTTCTAGCAAAAATCCCCCAGGTCATTTATTTTCAGGATTCATTGTTTTTTCTGTTGTTGTTGGGTTTTTTTAATATTATATTATTAACTAACCCACATAGTCACGGGGGAGTTTTTTCAAAGCCATATTTTTGTAGAGCCTACCAAAACACCCCATTAGGCGTCCTTGATGCCCAGGCTGTGTTTGTGTGAGCCAACGTGCCTGTGCAAACCCAAACAGGCCGTGGCCGGGGAGGAACACACTCCGCAGCGTCAGGCGGCTGCGGCTGTCCTTAACAGCTGAGCCAGCAAGCTGCCGGCCTCTGGTGTCACGGAGGGGAAGCCCAGCTTGGCTGGAAGCAGCGTTACCTGCTGCTCTGCAGCTTCAGGATGCTGTATTCCCAGCGAAAGCCTCACGTCCAGCTTTAACCACTGCCTGTTCCTGCTCACCAAAGCTCCTGGGACATTTGCTGTCGGGCTGCAGGGCATTTTCTGAGTGCTGCATGCCTGAACTCGCGGGTGCGCTTTGCTTAAATTGCCCAACTTTGCTCCCGGTGATGTGGCATTAGGGCCATTCTGCTCTCACTTCCAGGTGGGGCATGGAAAATCAACTCACAAGCCCTTTTGCTTTGATTTTGGTAGCCTCACCAAGCTTTTTGGAAGAAGCAGAACATCCCTGCGCCCCAAACTCCCGCAGTTTTGGGGATGAACATTTGTAGGGTTTAGATAAGAGCTGGGAGATGACAGTCGTTGCACCTGCTTGAATCCCAGCCCCAGTGTCACAGCTCGGAGCTCCCTCCACCTATATGAGCTGCCAGGGCTTCACCATGTGCTTCGTGACCAAGGGCAATACCTCCTCCAGTAAGAGCAAAGCGCAGAGGTACAGGAGGTAAGAGGAAAGCAAAGTGCGACATAAAACGACAAGAGAAGAGCTCTTCATTTGACTTAATAATCTGGCATATGTGTGGGTTTTGATATGGATATCTCAGGTGCACAACAGCCCCTGGGCACATGTAAGACGGTCTGAAGATGGGAAGATGGTGCTGACGTTCGAGCCAGCGTTCACGCCGGTGGGTGCCCTGTTACTGGCCTTCTCAGCTCCCACTTCAATGAGAAAAAGTTTCGGCTGAGCTGTACAGGGTCGCTGTCACCCAGAAACCTCCGTGGGACCCCCGCGCTGATCACCCCGAGCCCGGCAGCACAGAGTTAACACCATCAGCTGCCAAAACCAGCGGCTACCCTTTCCTCCTCCGCGCCCCGCTGCAAAACATTGTTCTGCAAAAAACAAAAAAGCCTTCACCTTCCTATGACCCCTGCACAGGTTACAACAGGAAAGCTTTCTGGAAGTGTTGGCAGGATCCAGGCACCAGGAAAGCGAGAAACACTCAGCTGCAGAGCCAAAGGCCAGGCTGGTTGCAGGCGCAGAGCAGCCCTGGCTCTGCCTTTCACGCCCCGCAGCGGCACAGGGATTATTTAGGTAAAAGCGCTGCAGCTTCTCATAACAAACTTTCTGCATAAAGCCAGGTAATAAGCAGGAAAAGTGTTGTGGTCCGGGACAGGCCTGGGAACGCCAAGACTCAGCCCCCACTGGCAGCTCTCCCGAGGGCGGCTCAGGGCAGGGCCCAAACCAGGGCACCGAGGCCAAGAGCAAGGGGTTAAACCCTGGCGCAGCTGAGCCAGGAGGTGGGCCACCTCGTTAGCTGTAACGAGGCAGCTTCAGAGTTTGGGCAGCTGCTCTGGGAGCAATCACGGGGGCTTTGTAAAGAGCTGCAGCTGCAGCCTTTCTTTCCTCTCTCATTTTGTGTGGGGTATGGCAGGGGTAGGAGCAGCATTTCTCTCTCTAGTGCTTCTTGCTCTGCTCTTGGAGGAGTTAGATTGCCAGGGATGAGGTCTGGGGTATGAGGAGCCCTGCAGGGACAGCCAGCTCTCTTTGCTTTTGGGGAAGCCATGAGGAAAGAAATTCTACCTTGAGCTTTAGGATCTTCTCTCAACTCATTCACAACCCTCTGCTCGCTCTCCTTTCTCTAACCCTTCTCCTTACACAAACCTCAGCTACTCAGGGCAGAAAAGCAGAGAAAAGTGTTATCCTCTGCAGTCTCAGTGGGGACCTGCTTTGAGCATGGGCCTTGGAGAAGGAGGGTGAGGGACACCCCTAAACTCTTTTCTTTTTTTCTATCACCCTAATGTCAGCAGCTGGGCTCCCACCTGCTGTGCCCTGCTCCACCTTTGCCTGCACTTTGGGCTTCTGCTGAATCTTCTCTCCTTGCTGAGCCCCTCTGGACTTGCTAGGGGTTCAACAGGTTGCTTTTCCTCAGATTTCAGGGGGCAAAAAGGGGGGAATCCAGCATTACCGTTCAAATGAGGGCCTTTCTCCAGCATCGAAGGCATCCCGGAGCTGTTTCACCAGGTTGTCCTGGCCGGGGAGGCGGAAGATGCCCTCCTCGCTCATGCCGTGCTCCCGGATGAACTCCGCGCACTTCTCCACCAGGATGGGGACCTGGTGCTGCCCGAATTTCTGCTCGTAGGCCATGGTCTCCACCAAGTGCTGACCAAACACCGCTAGGGAAAGGACACATGGGTTAAAAGCTTTGCTCCAGGGCAGTGAGCAATACTGTCACCCTGTTAAATGATGGCTTCACAGAGGGATGCTCTGAAGCCTTATTTTGACTGTGCCAGCTTACAAATTTCAGCGGCAGCTCTGATGTGCCAAGATTAGGGTTTGGCTTGAGCAGAAAAATTCTTCTTGGCTCTTTTCTCTCCTTGCTTCCTCACCATCCTGGTGATTTTTCTGCTCTCCTTGCAAGCCTTAAGGACCGCACAGTGCCTGGCCGGTGGCGCTGAAGGTGCAGTACCTACTGCTGCGCGTTGGGCAGCAGCCGCTTCTCCTCCTCCTAGTGCGGAGCCGCAGCAGGAGGGATGAGCTGCAGAAACTCTCCCAACTGAAGGAAAAGGGAACTTCTTCCAAACAAATAACTGCAAAAAGAAACCTTTCCTCTCCTCGCAGTAACAGCTCTCAACATGATTCAAAGCAAGCCACAAGCCATGGGGTTTGTCTGCCCTGCCGCCTGCCTTCTTCAAAGCAGAGTGCCAAGGTTAACTTCGCCTTTTCCATGTACAGAGAGAAATGGGAATAGCAGAGAGGCAGGGGCGCTGGGAGGGAGCGCGAGCTGGTCGGTCGGACGTGCGGAGCGCAGGAGGACACCAGGAGTGAATGGCCGCGTTCCCAGGTGCGCGGGCACCTCCGGCTCGGGGAGAAGTGGATAGTGCAGCACTTTGAAACCCAGGGCCTTGGGTTTGGGAGCAAAACTGCCAGAGCTGAGCTGGGCTCAGGGGTTCCCTTGCTTCCAGCCCCTGCTTTGCTTCAGGGCAAGATCAGTAGTAAAACCGAAGTCTGTAAAAGCGAGTTGCAAAAGCCTCGCAGAGGTTTGGGGCTGGGCGTCTTACTTATCTAGCTGGTTTCCTTCCCTCTCTCCCTCCTATGACCCCCCTTTGTGTGAGCAAAAGCAGTATTTCAGAGCAGGCAGTACCTTTCCTGCAGAGCAAGGGCTTTTTCCTCCTGAACTCGCAGCAGAAGAGCAGCTCGAGGGAGGGAAGGCAGCAGCCTGCATCCCAGCTCTTCCTCCTCAGAGCCTGCGGCATGCTAACGGCGGCAAAGTCCTGGCTCCAGGGCTTTAACGGCAAAGCCTGATACTGTGTTTTGTCCTAGCAGCGCCTGTTCGATGTGTTCGCCTCGTGCTCTGAGGGCTGAAATGCTCCCTGCGTATCCTCCGGCTCAGCGCAATGCTCGTAAACCCTCCTGTCGGGAACCACAGGGCTTGCCAGCACCTGCCCGCTCGTGGGGGTTTATAGGAAACTCGCTTATGCTCTTAAATAATGAATATAAACCTGTCGTCGTGCAGAGTAAAAGCAAATGGCTTTTTTTTTCTTCCCCCCCCCC